GTGCAATTCCCAATGAGGTCAGTTGGAATAATACCAGAATGGCATTTGAACCTGTGACAGAAAGAATCAAAAGTTTTATAGCTACATAGTTCAATCCACCTAAGAAGTAAAAGTATACAGTGTAGTTTTGATCAAACTAATGAACTATGATATAATTTTACTGTCACTGTAAAATCAGATATACCTGAGCCAGAACTGTGACCTACTTTGGTGGAAATCAATTTCCTTATAGTTTTTCCCTCCAAAAGTTGCTTAGCAAAAGCCTACAATTTAATCACTTCAGTGGAGCTATGCAAACGAACATTGTGATGATAACCTAGCCCTATGTGGTTACTTCAGGCTACCCTGATAAGCTACAAATCAGAAACAAAGTTAAAATGTTATTGACCATTTAATTATAGGAGTTGTCTCAACACATTGCATATAGTTCTTACAGAAAAGAAGGATCTGCTTCCATAAACTTCATACAGGTATGTTCCAAAACTGGACTGAAGAGGGAAGTCATTTTCCAAGGAAAATGCTGACATGTTTCATAAAATGTGACGAACAATTGAAAATGAAAAATATCTGGGTTTTGATTTTTTTTCACTTCTCATGAAAAGGGTCAGAAACCCAATTTACCATTAAAAACCATTTTGAAAAAATATTTTTGACTAGCTCTAATGTACATTTCTCCTATTGGAAGGTATCTTGTTCTACTACTTTTTAATGCCTTTTATGCCCCTTCAGTTTTATGACTGACTGAAGAGTATAATTAGCTTTCAAAACCAGGAGACTATAGCTAGTATATTATCTTGTAAATAAAGCACAACAAATAAGGTTGTGTAGCGCTTGCTTTTGATCTAAATTGTAACTACTTATTAACAATGGGTGAGAGTAAATGTGCATTAACTTTTTTTTTAGTGGAACCAGAAATTTGATCCATTTGAAAATATTCCCTCCTTAAATATTGTCCCTACCCCCGCACCCTTTAGTTTGTCTCAGTTCCAGCCTCAACATCAGAAACCAAATATGTGAATTTGAACTAATCCTGTGAGTCTTTTCCATCCTCATTCCACTATGCAAAGCCATCAGTTACAGTTATTCCCCCTTGTGATTGCCATCTTTTCAAAATGTAACGTAGGACAATTAAATGTTACCAAATCTTTTAAGAAAGACTGCCATGGTTTAAGACTGCCTGTCCTCCTTCAGAACTCTAGGTAAATAGATGCTCTAAATATAACATCTAAATATAACATGGAATGGATGTCAGAAATGGCCTACCATTGTACAAATAAATTATTGGGGAACCTTTAAAAAAATCTCAAATCGCTAACCCAACTCACAGAAATAATAATTATATAAAAATAGCCTACTTACAAGCTTCAGACTCATACTGTTTATAAAATAATTAATGGATGATATTAGCCCCTAAAATGTGTTTCTTTTGTTTTGCTTCTCCTGTAGAAGTGAGGCAAAAGATAGGGCATGGTGGCACCTTAGGCCTTGGTAAATGTTACATTTATGACACAATTAACACATTAATCTCACTTTAAATACCAGTAGTAACTTTTCACACCTTCAGGCAACTAATGGCACAACAAAATGAGAAAACAGCCATAAAAAATGTTCTGCATTATATAGTATTTAATCCCAGATTACAGAAATTTCTTGTGCATGTGTGGTATGGAGGACATGTAATTTTGGGGGTCTGGGATAAAATTTGTCATATCCCAAATTGTGCAATTAAATTAAGGCCTGCCAGAGGCCTTAGCAACTAACTGTGTTAAGGAAGCATACATTTTTATAGATAGCAACCTGCAATGGAGGGACTCCTATAGAAGTGGGTATACTGGCTCTGTCCTATAATTCTGAAGATGGACAGAGACACTTAAGACTTCAGAGTTTTGACTTCTAGTTAAGTTTGGATGAATTTACAAGTGTGGCAAATTAGCTGTCTACAACCCTGAACATGAATTCTTGTGAGGAAAGACTCCACTCCCCATTCCCTCACGCCACCTCCCCCTGCCTGAAAATTTCTGTAATTTCTATAAAACGGACAATCCAATCTTAATCAGGAATATAACAGAAAGGGTCTTCTTTATGTTGTTTTGTCACTTCAATGTGCAGTCCAAGCAAGAATATGAAAGTGGAAGGAGGGAAACACTTAGTGCCTTATTATACCTTGCACTTTGAGCTGCTCACCTGTTGACTAGTGTTAGTGTTAGCTCAAGTCTGGAGGAGTCACAGCTTAAGGCTAAAAACCTTCTATGACTGTCTGCCACCTGCACAGCTGTGCCTTACTACTAGAGGTCTGGTGAGCAGGGACTTGACAAGGAGCTACAGCTGTGAGTTGCCAGTATAGGGCTGGTGAGCCAAGACAAGCTTCTTTTCCTGCTCTAGGTGGAAGGGTATGAGAGATGGGTTTGGGTGGGGTAGGAAGATGAAGCTGGAAGGTGAAGAGTTAATGGAATGAGAGTGGGTAATGAAATGAGGGGAGGGAAGGGTGGTGAAATGAAGGAAGTCAGCTATTGAAGGATAAAATTTAAAAAGTAAAACAAAAAAAAGAAATAAAGAGGAAGTACATTAAAGATCTCATTTTAATAAATTGATGTTACTAAAAGTAGTATGTATTAATAATAATAATACATTATTATTTATTAATACTTTGGGATTGGGGCGTGGGGGTGTGGTCATGCTTCCCAGGGTGGCTGGGAGGTGGGAACAGTGAGGAAAGGTACTTTTTGGGGAGCTACTGCTCCTGCGCTGAGAAGGAAGCCCCAGTTCATGGGGACCTGATCTGGCCACCTCTATTGTTCCCCCCACCAGATCCTACCCCTGGACCCATCCATGTCCTGTGACGTGGCTAGCTGATATGTGCTCTGCAGGCTGTTTCCTTGGGGTTGAACCCCTGAGGGTAGGAAAGTCACACCCCTGGGGGTGGGAGGGGAAAGTTGACTTCTCTACAGATTTTACAGACGTTAGGGTTGGATGGGATCTCAAAGATCATCAAGTCCAGGCCCCTACCCCAGGGGCAGGAAGTTAGCTAGGGTTGAAGGATCCCAGCAAGATAAGCATCCAAACATTTCTTGAATGAGTCCAGAGTAGATGCCTGCACCACTTCTGGAGGGAGTCTATTCCAGGCCTTGGAAGCTCGGACAGTAAAGTTTTTCTGTATGTCCAGCCTAAAATGGTCTTGGAGGAGTTTATGACTTTTGGTCCTTGTTTTTCCTTGAGGCGCTCTGGTGACCAGACGTTCTCCCAGATCCTGATGTACACCCCTTATGTACTTATGTACCATGTCCCCCCTGAGCCTGCGCTTTTCCAAGCTGAAGAGTCCCATGGCTCTCAGCCTCTCTTCCTAAGGCCTATTCTCTTGCCCTCTGATCATGAGCATGGCTCTCCTCTGGACTCTCTCAAACTTCTTGACATCCTTTTTGAATTGTGGAGCCCAGAATTGGATGCAGTACTCCAGCTGCGGCCTCACAAAGGCCGAGTACAGCAGGAGGATGATATCCTGAGATTTACTTGAGAAGCATCTATGGATGCAAGCCAGAGTTTTATTTGCTTTACCAGCTGCGACATCGCATTGGTGGCTCATGTTCATCTTGTGGTCAATCATAACCCCCAAGTGCCTTTCAGCAGTGGTGCTAAGAAGCGTAGCACTGCCGAGCCTATAAGCATGCTGCGGGTTTTTTTTCCCCCCGAGGTGGAGTACCTTACATTTGTCAGTATTGAATCTCATCAGGTTTGTATTCACCCACTTAGTAAGTTTATCCATCTCAGCCTGGATCACTAGCCTGTCTTCAAGTGTGGATGCTATGCCCCAAAGTTTAGTGTCATCGACAAACTTAGCCAGTGTGCTTCTGACACCAATGTCCACATCATTTCTAAAGATGTTAAAGAGAACCGGTCCAAGGACAGAGACTTGGGGGATGCCACAGGTCACGGTGCACCATAATGATTCGCTACAACCTTGGAGCCATTTTCCCAGCCATTGGACTGCGATGTAGCTGAGGCCACAGTTGGCCAATTTTTCCATGAAGAGGTCATGGGACACCAGATCAAAAGCTTGCCAGAGCCATCCCTGAGCAGTAGAGTTTTGGGGATTGAAAATCTTTCCATCCAGAACAGGAGGATAGGGGAGGGGACACTGCATCCTGGGATGCTGAAGGATGTAACCTGGGTGAGTCATTTGTGCTTAAAACTAGATTCAGGTGTTAATATGTGGACAATCCAGGGGTTAAGAGCTCTACAAGGTGCCTAATATTAATGTGTAACAGGTCCCTTAGTCAAACACTTGAAAAGCGTAGCAAAGTTTTGCATTTAATTTCATTTGAAAAAATTAGCTAAGGTTTTTGGGGTAGGGATTTTGTCTTTCCGGATACACTCCATTGTCAATGTTGTCTGTCATAAGATCTTTCATTGTATGTTTTTACTGGGAAAGCCAAACTAAAAACAGTCACGAGTGCCATCCTGCATATTCTTCTATTCCACAGTTTGGGGCTGGGTTCTGAGAGGGTTCATGCAGAATGCTTTTGTTGTATGCGTGTCACCTTGATTTAAAGTTTTTTTCTTTACCAATGTTAATGTTAAAAAAATATCAGCTATCATTGTAAATATATAGTAGGGACAACAGGCAGAGGATGCTTTAAATGGAGACATTTATTTAACCCATATTTTGTCTCTTGCAAATAGGTGTTTATCTAAAACTGTAATTCTGAAAGTCCCTAATCTAGATGCAATCTAGATGATAAGGGCTATTTTAGTATCAGAACCCTTACTCAGAACTTCTAAAACATTAGAATGTTTTAAAGTTTCAATGCTTTTACTTTCCCCAAAGCATGGCTCCTAAATTATTTCATATTAGAGAAATCAAGCTAATGGGCCTGTTGTTTCCTGAATAGAATTTGGCATCAGCCAAGTAAAAAAATTAAGTAACTTAAAGGTTTTGCTGAGGTGAGGCAGCATTTGGGTCAAGTTCAAATTTCAACACATTCACTATTTAATTTTTATTTCAGGTTATTCAGACTATCAGTGCCACTGACAAAGATATCTCTGCAAATGGGCCAAGATTCCGTTTTTCTCTTGATGAGGGCCTTTCTTTGAATCCCAACTTTACACTAAGGGACAATGAAGGTAAATCAAAGATATTAATCTATAAGAAGTGGGTCTCCATTTTCTCTGAGATGTCTCACTGAACAGAACAATTATGCTCACTTTCCTTGTCAGGACGGGAAAACAGTAATCTATCAATGCTGAACTGGCTGGTATCAAGGACACAGTTATGTACACAGTGTGTTTGAAATGTGAATAACCAGGGATTGTGTTTTAAAATACCCTGTTATATATTCTATTCCATATTTACTTTCTATGTGATGCTGTACCAAGAATTTATACTTTATAGGTCTTTCAGTACATTAATAAGCATTTTTTTTAAATAAGTACATGAATTTGTGTTGGCAGACTAGTTCTTTGCACATCTAGTGAGCGCATCTACACAAGATGCTTATTACAAAAGATGCCTAATTAACTCCACCGTAGGTTAGTACTGCCAGATAAAAGTACTATCCTAAGGTGGAGTTATTTACTCTGCTATAATGTACATGTAAAGGCTGATGGGGCTGGCTGGGGCACACAGGTGCTTTAGTGTGGGGGCTGCCTGCCAGCTGGCCCTGCACTCAAGCACCCTCATGCTCCAGCCAGCCCCTCCATAGCACATTTAGCCAGGTTGGAGCAGCCCTGGTCTGACAGGCTGACCCCCAGAGCCCCCTGCCAGCTCGGGGCTGCTCTGCCCTAGCTCAACATGCTGCAGTCCCAGATGCACATGTAAACACTATGCCAAGGAACAATGAACTTCAGTGTGAAGTGCACCAGAGATTATTGCATTGCTTTAATATTTATGTGTAGATGTGTAGATGTGCCCAGTAGGTGCTTAACTGTGGAGTAGATTAGCTGCGGAGTAAAGCATCACCAGCTACACGCATGACAGTCTACACACAGTAAACTAATTAATGCCGGGTAAACTAACTAATGCTAATTTGTGGGGGGCAGTACTCTCTTATGCCGGGGTAATTTACTGTGTTTAAACACACATGTAGATGCTGACCATGGGCATTAATTGTGCCCTGTCAGCCCAGCCAGGTGGGGGCCAGACTCTTGCCTGCTGCTTAGCCACACAGCTCCACACTTTCAGCATCCTTCTAGCCAACCTAGCCAGCCCCTCTGCCACCTGATGCTGCCATCCAGAGCCCGGGCCTGACCCCGGTGCCTTCTGTCAGCCTGGGCCTGCTCTGCAATGGCTCAAATTGCTGCTTTCCCCAGGCACAGCATTTTCACATAGTTTACTCCAGCTCAATCTGCCCTGGAGTTTATTGCTTCACATTAATTGCAAATGTAGACACTCCCACAGAGAGACATATTAATCTACCTTGTAGCAAGAAGTTTAACTCACAACTGAAACTAAAAACAAGATCCTTATCATATATTTCCCTAGAGTTCCCTTCCATAGTCTACAAGGAAGAAGTAACTCTGTAAAATATAAATGGAAGTCTGTATCTTTCTAAATGCATAGTGTTGGGTTTGTGAAGTTTACATATCAGTCCTTGTTTAGAACTTTCCCTAAAGGCATGCTTTAGTCCTATAATGTGAGAAGAACACTCTGAAGTGAATTTGCACTGAACAGTTTTCAAATACTTAAAACTTTGATATGTCTCAACCTTTTTGTTCCCAATCTTGGCAGAAGACTCACTTTTTATGCATCTGACACATTTGAATTTTTCAAAATAATGTTTTCTAGCTTTGTACACTCAGAAAAAGGATGACTACAAATTTGTTAAAATGTGCTAAATGCTGTTTTTTCATGGTTGGATTACTGGGATGTTTAGGGATTTTTTTAAAATTCATACATACACGCACACAATCAACCTTCGGCTGAAAGTAGCTTGAGGAAATTCTATTCAGTAATGTTCTTCAGAAAATGATAAATGCCAAAAATAGGATTTAGAATGAAAGTGTCTTTCAGTGAGAAGCACACCATATCACCACAGTGCTATATTTCTGAGAAGGGAGAACAGCAGGCTTTGGATTTCAAAGTATGCCTCTATAGGTAATTTCTTCTCTGTTCTTGTTTCTCTTAGAAGTAGGCCAAAGCTGCAAAATTTAGCAATGAATGCAAGGCCTGAATGTATCATTGCCTAATTCTTTTGTACTCTATACAGTAGTGAATCAAGGCCCTAGATTTTAACAGCTATTTATTTTGTGAACTTAGACTCAAGATCCAGGCAGGCAATGCACAGATAGACAAGGTGTCAGACTAGGCCCTTACTTAGATACATTGGTTGGATCATTAATCAGCCTAGTGCTTTCTTGTTAATCGGTCAGGAGATTCCAGCAGTGGCAACAAGTATCATATCTGTCTTGAGCAGCCCAGTAAATAGTGCATCACCTTCTGGGTTTGTTTGCTATATTGAAGGATAAACATGAAAGCTGGTTTCTGACACCCTTGTTCATGAACAGGGATCCTGGTTTCGTCTGATAAAAAATTGCAAATTCTCTGATAAAACTTGCAGGTTCTCTGATTAAAAAAAACCCAAATCCACAATTAAAATGAAACACCACTATATATCTATATCTATATCAGCATCAATTGAAAACAATCTTTTATGGATATATTTACAATTTTAAAGAAATTTGGAAGTCTGCCAGTGTCTCAATCACTATAATAAAATAAATGCTAAATACCTATAAAGTTTGGTATTCGACTTTGAGGTTTTATCATGTAAAATCAAAGCCCCCCCACCCCCTTAGCTCACAGAATGCAGGTCCAGGCCCCTGACTCCCCCCCAAAGCCCCCTGGCTCTGCTGATACCCCTCACCCCACCCCACACACACACCCATGGCCCTGCTGGTGCCCCTCACCCCCACCCACAGCCCCCTACCCTCCTTAGCCCTGCTGGGGGGCTCCCAGATGCCAGGGACCCAGTTCTGCAGCCTCCTGCCACCCACAGCAGCACGTGAGACTTGGCTGCTGACCATGGGAGGCTGTGGCTGCTGCTGCATAGCAGGGTGTGGAGCCCAGCTTCCCCTACCCCATGGTCGCCATGGCCAGAACAGAGCCGGTGGGGGGGCTGCCCACACTGCTGCCCTCCCCTAGGGCCTCTGCAGCCCTGCAGGTGGGACCTGGTGTGGCAGGACAGAACAGGGCCAGGTGGGGAAGCTCCATGCTGCTGCAAGTTCCATGTTGCCCTGGTGATATACCCCCTGCTTGCACCGCAGCAGCGAGGGGAACAACCCTGGCTGCCCCCACTGCTGCCAGGCAAGCAGGAGATGGCTCACTAGGGAAACATGGAGCTCAGAGCGGCAAGGACCTTCGCTGACCAGCCCCACTCTGGCCTGCTACACCAGGTCCCACCCACTGGGTTGCAGGGGCCCCGCGGCAGAACAGCAGGGTGGGAAGCCTGAGCTATCAGCAGGGAGGCCACACCCTCTTC